CCCTCTTCTTTTTTCCATCAGGTCTACACTGAGGCCGTCTTCTCGTTCTCTGACCACCTTGGTCCCGCCTCGTTTCTGGCCGTTCCGCTGACTGGACTCAGTTCTGCTCCCAGCTCTGGACCTGTAAAGGCTTTGGCTCATAAGTGGAGCTGGTCTATCGCCCCCTACTCCTCTTTGAGTGTACTGCAACTCGCCACTGTGGCTCCTCATGTTCGCAGATGCAGGAGGAAGTGTGTAGCTGAGTGTGGACATGAGGGCAGATATTGACCCCAGCAGTCCGTCCAGGCCGGTGCAGAAGTGCAGCAGGGAGATTTTGAGAGAGGGGCAGAGGGTGGAGCGGGCCAGCTCTCTGACAGCAGCCAGCAGCACAGAGTAGGCCCTCTGGTTCTGAGCTAGTCGAGCCTGGTTCTCCAGGCCGTGCCACAGCTCCAGGCGCGTGGCAGCACTGGGTAGACTCAGAGCTGTGCTGTTGGGCCGAGGAGGAGAAAAGTCCTTCTCATTGAATGGAGGGCCCAGATAGGTGAGCTGGAAAAGAATGTTATGAAAGAGAAAACAGGAAAAGAGGAATTTTAATGGATTTTTGTGTGTGTGTGTGTGTGTGTGTCGAGCTATGAATAAGAAAGGCCTGTAACCACAGACTGTGTACAGGAAACATATGTGCCAGTTAGTAGAGTGGAGGTCCACTTTTTCAGAAGCAACAATAAATATAATTCTACAGAAAAATATGTTACCAAACAACAGCAGAAAAAAATTAAATGAAAACATAAATTACAATCCTGTTTAGTGGAAAATAGAAATTATTTGGGTTTTATGTTTTGGTTAAAACTGTTTTTGTGCAGTGGCTTGTTTCTCACTACAAGACCAAAGTTGATGAACTCAGGACAAAGAAAAGATGTGATCAATACATTGTTTCAGTCTTGTGACTGGACAATAATTTTTGTTGAAAATATTTCTAAATTTTAACGTACAACCTGCATATTTATCACTGAGTTATAACAATTTTACCAATGAGTTGTATCAATTTCTTTGGACTCGGAAAAGACGATTCTTTTTGTACTATATGTCTGAGCTGCATTTCATGATGTTCCAGACGTTTTCTAAAGGAAAGAGATCTGGAGTTAGATCATTTAATATTATACTGGGATTTTATAGAATCTATTCTTTATTTTATCTACACATATATACTAATTAACTCGGGAAATATTATAAATATTTAAGTCTGTTTGAGCAGAGTGAGCTATCTCCCAAGAGTCTCTGCACTAACAGAGCAGGAATCCCTGTGAACGACCTCTAAACTGTCTCACACCCTCCCTGTCTGCGTTGTTTCAACTGTTGCCTTCAGGCAGAAAGTACAGGTGCATCAAAGGCAGCGGCAGCAGCTGCTCCACAGCTTCGTACCATGAGGAGTCACATTAGTGTGGAGTTGCTGATCCAGAAACTGCACTTTTATTACACATTTTATTACTTTTATTGCCCCACTTTTATTCATTTGAATTACCGGACTATTCAATAGTTTAACAGTGGAACTTCAAACACAGCACGTTCTCCATTTTAACACCATGTGCACTTTGCACTTTGATCATGTGATTGTCATTTAAAAGATTGTCAGTGCGAAGGGAGTGCCAGATGCTTATGATTGCGGTCAGTGCGAAGGGAGTGCCAGATGCTTGTTTTTGAATGGCGGTAATTTTGATTTAACAAAAAAATAATTACAACAATATGATTTATTGATTTGAATTTTTTTAAGGTAAAAAAAGCACAGATTGGTAAAACTAAACTTCTATTAGTTGTAACAAATAAGTAGTGTTGATGGTTCTGCCAATTATCAATCTTGTAACATTTGCAGCAGGAGAGCCTGATCTAAAGAGTGGTATTACGATAAAGTACTCACGTATACGTCTTGGATTTCCTTCAGCTGGTACTCCAGGTACTTGGTCAGTTCATACGTGCTCTCTATGGAACTCCTCTCATTGGCTAGGTGTGACGAGTCCATGGCCGTCACCATCACAGCAGCCAAGAGCAGGAGAAGATGGCGGTGATGAACTGTAATGAAAAACAAAACAAAAACAAGAGTTTAAACACATTTTGATTACGAATGACTATTGTAGACTTTAACAACACTATTCATTCAGAGTTAGCTTCGATCCCAGGCTCTGCTGGTCTACATGCCGTTGTGTCCCTGACCATAAACCACACTAAACAGTATAAAAGCAGTTTCAAAGTACAGAGCATTGAGTTTCAAAATGTGAGCCAACTCTCCTCTGGGTGGTGCCAGAGAACTTGTTTGTGTTTATGCATGTCTGAGGGTTTTTTTAAGGGGGGGGGGGGGGGGGGGGTCACAATAATAGACTTCCAAGTCATGACTGTTTTCTATTCACCACATGTATCCTGTTCAGGGCAGGCAGGCAGAGGCAGCTGAAGTCACCAGTCTACAGCTACCTAATCCACAGTCTGCACGTTTTTGGCCTAATACTTGAAAAGTACACACACATACACACACAGACTACACACAGACACCACCTGCCTCAGCCAGGACATGAACCAGTGACCTTCTTGCTGTGAGACAAAATCTCTAACCACTAAACTATCCTTCAGCCTTGAATTATTCAAGAGAGCACGGGCTCATCAGCAGAGGGACGTAATCATAACAGCCAGATTAAACTGATTCCTGCTCCTATTCTCTCAGACATTTTGTGATTATTTAATCTCAAATCCTTAATGAGTTTGATGATTTGAAAACTCAACAGACAATAATCTTCCCCAGATCGTTGCTGGAGTCACCGTTCTCACTGTTTATACATCTATATTTTTTTTACATAATTCTGCTTTGTTTCTTCGTCTCCGTGGCAATGGCCCCGTATGTTTATACATCGTAAGGTTGGAGTCATCTGAAAATGCAGATAAAGCTCGCTCCGTTTCCACTCTGACTGTAGAGGTTTCTGGCCGTCAGAGGTTTTCTCTGGCTTCAAATAAAAACATGCCTAATATCTTTAGACAGTCATTTTCAGACAATCAGACAAATGGCTCCATTGTTCATTGCACCACCAGCACGGTTGTATTTCTATCTCTGTGAGGACCCTCGCCGACAACACGCATTAACAGATTCGAGTATTAAATGAAAATGAAATTTCTGAAATTGCCAATGAAATGTTACATATGACATATCATGGTGTTTGTTCGATTTGTTTTCTACGTGTCTACCATGTAAAACAATTTCATAGAAATATAGATTTGATAAAAAACAAATTATTATGGTCGAATGATAATATGAAAGACATATGGTCTAAATAAGTTAATAAATTTACTTTCATAATAGCTAAAAGTTAACAAACGTTTTTTGTGTCTAAAAGCTAACCAAAATGTATAAAGTTAGCCAAAAAATAGCAAAAATGCTAACATTGAGAACTTGTTCAAGGCAAGGAAAATAGCGAGTAGCAGGTAGAGGTTATCCTCCAAACTAGTTTTTTAATGATTACATGTAGAAATAAACAAAGATACCTTTACCTTTACCTTGAAATTGTATACGCACACATATACAGTACTTCTCAGCCTAGTACTCTGATACGTAGGAGAAGTGTAGTGTTTTCCAATGTTTGATTAAGTTGCAGCTAAAATCAATCAAAATGACCCTGCAACACATTTTCTGAGTAAAAAAGAATCATGAGGGAAAAAAGTTCATTTTCTGCCCTGACACACACACACACACGCACGCACACACATGTGGCTTTCTTTACAATCACAAACACTGCAGTGTTTGTACCAGTTGCCTTTGTTTCGGTGTGTTTGTGTAGGTGTTTTATGTTACTGTGTGAATGTTTGTGAGAAGGTTTGCGGCTTTGTAATTAAATATGTTGATGGATTTCACATTGTTATGAAAGTATACAATGCTGTGTACATGTGCTGATTAATGTGTGTGTGTGCGCGCGTGTGTGTGTGTGTGTGTATACCACTGCAAACCTTTTAGTGCCCCTGTCTCTGGTTTCAAACAGAGAAAATTGGAGCTGAAAGGTGGCTTTCAACATTAGGAAAGTTCACGATCATCCACTGATTTGCAGCCTGCGCTCGTTCTCTCTGTCTGGACGCTTTGGCTTCCACGCTGTTTCCTTTACTTTTCCAACTCTCTGTCTGTCTGTCTCTCTCTCAACACTTCCTTGGGCCTTCAACTCAAGCGAAACACATTTTTCTTTTGCCTCCCTGCTCTCCATCCTGGCTCGCTCTCATCCCCCTGACACGTTGACTGCAGGCAGTTATTCATGCTTGTAATTATGGGCGAAAACATGCTGCTGTTCAACAGGTGTGAAATATGTAGCACACAATGTGTGTGACCCTGTCAGCTCTGTTTCCTTTGCACACTCTGTCTTTCTCCGACACACCTCGGGTCTTCTGTTGCTTCACCAACTGAATTCTCCGCTCGTCTCCAGCATGCTCTCAGACTTTCCTTTTTGTCTCGTCTTCACCTCCTCCTCTTCCTCCTCCTCCTTCTCCTGCCCTTCTTTATCTCTTTTCAGCCTCAGGTCAAAATAACAGGAGTCAATTAACTGTGATTAGCTCACGTACTCCCTTTCCATCACACCCCATTTTTTTCTCTCTCTTTTCTTTCATCTGTCTCATGTCGACGGGCGCCTCCAGGATGAGTAAGTGAGTTTAAGTGAGCAGCTTAAACAGATTGCAAAATATTTACTCTCAACACATTTTCGGCGGATGTATGAAAACAGGTTCTGACCTACAACAGCAGTTTCCCTCTGACTCAACCACTTACATTTGACACATCGGGTCTGAAACCTCATGGTATGTACTTTATACGGCTGAATGCAAACAAAAGAAAATGTTGCCTCCTTTGTAGTGTGCCACCTATAAGAAGAACATGTCATAATTACAAGCTTTTCTTTAACATATCCACAAGGGAATAGTTTTTCTTGCACGTCTACAATTATATCAAGTTATCATTATGAAAGTAATGATTATAATCCAGAGCCGAACAATAGAAAAGTAGTTACGGCTCCTGCCTTAGAGCAAAAAGATTGGTGGTTCACTCGTCTGATTCCCTGTGGTAACGGATGATCTGTCTGTTTGTTTGCATGTTGCATGTGTTTGGGTTGTCAGTGGGTCCACCCCCTCACCCCCTCACCCCCCCTCCCTCCATGGTCTGATTATGGTTGTTTGGTGATGTACGTGGGCCAGTGATGGACAGGCCAACTGTCCAGGTTTTACCGCACCCTCCCATAATATGTGCTAGGATTGGCTCCATCACCCCCCCCCCAACCCCCGCCCCACAGGACCCTGAGAATAAGCAACAGAAGACGAATGGATGATTATAGTACAAATTGTAGTGTTGACAAAGTTAAGATTTAGAACGCAGACTTCTTCCAAAAAGAAATGAAAAAAACAAAACGATTTCTCAAGCAACACGATCTTGAAAAATTTGGGAATCTAGCCATTTCAATTAAAATGGGATTAGAAATACTTGTCATGACAGTGACACAACACAACAAAGCCACCAGGTGTTTCCCAGATGGTGGCTGTGCCTCCACCACTTTGCCCCTGATTAGTCAGTTTCATCATTCTCCCAACTATTTTCTAAATGACTGTGGTTGAGCTTGGGCAACTCCCTCACACTCTCGCTCTCACACACACCTTTAAATCAGTCAGTCCCCGTCGGCCAAACCTCCTGCCAACTGCAAATCGCCTCGTCACCTGTCAAAAGCTACAAAGCATCTCCAAAGCGACACTTAAACATTTGGAGCTCATCAACTTTGGAGGTTCCTCCCACTAAACAGCTTCCATGAGCATCACAAACACGACATGGTTGACTCTAAGAGTAAACAAGCCTGGAGGAACGAAAGGACACACAGTGAGAAAGAGCGATTGAATTCAGAGAGAAGTAAACAGGTAAAAAAAAAAACTCATTTTGTTCTGTCTCTGGAGCCATATGTTCAGAGATGGTTGCCAGACGCAGAGAGACTCTTGTTTTGATTGAGGGCTGACATGTCTGAAAGCATCCTCCGTCATGGCGAAAAACAAACGATCTTTTGTATAGAGTAAACTGAGATAAGTCAAACCCAGATACTCGCTGCTGTTATATAACATTAGACTCAGTAAGTACATCATCATCGGCATGTAGCCTGACTTCAAGGCGAGCCCTGCAGGCTTGGGGCTGTGTCTGCGTACCTGGCAGTGGAAGCACACTCTGCAGGGCAGGGTTGAATCCAGAACATTCTCGGTGGGAGGATTGTGTTACAGCAACATCAGGGGTTCCCTGCAACAGTCAACCATGACCTGCCTCTGTGCACTCACATCCCCCCGACTCTGATTAAGGAAAGTCCAATGTCCAATGTCTGTAACATTTGGATAGGTTTTATCTGGCCCACAATTTCTTTCTTTATATTATATATTATATCTCATTGATAGGTGAAGAATTTCTAAAATATACAACCTATTTATCTATACTGTAATAGTTGTTGTTTACCAACTTGATGTAACATTAAAAACAAGTTCAGGAATATTTCTCATATTCTGATCTTGTTTAGCTAAAACTGTCATCGAGGCTAACCATTGGCTAATATACTACACTATAACTATTGTTTACTTGATTGGTCAGTGTACAATTTCTTGGTTATGTTTTAAAAAATATAAAACTAATTTTAACAATATATGTTTGTGCTCTTTTTTCCCTGTAATTTTGCTATGTGAATATTTTTTTTACTTACCCTTCACTGTGGTTTAGGTCATTTTGTTTTCTGTTCTTAGATTCTGTGGTTATCTTTTAGCTGATGATAACCATTTAAGTCACACTTGACACATGTTAAAAAAGTTGCTATTATTTACCAACATACAACTTGCTTTTTGGCAGCACTGTTGCAAGGTACTCTGTGTTGTCCAGCATGATAACTTTTGCTTAGGTTATCTCATAAAAACAAACAAGAAAACTTGACGTATTTAAAATAAATCTCTCCCATTTTATTACCAGTTAAGCCAAAGTATTTGCTACGTACTAAATAAAATTATTGAAAAGCCACGGATTTGTAGGACACTTAATTGCAATG